TACCTTCAAAGGAGCAGCAAATAACAATGAAAGCTGAATTTTTAACAAAACTCACGGAGCTAGAAGACAGTGGAGCACGTTGCTGCTCAAGTGCTGGGGATGGCAGAAACATCCACCTAGACTTCCGTCCTGCTCCGAATGAAGGGCAACTAGATGTATTTCAGACACACAAAAGCTGAATTTACTGCCCGTCAAAACATAACCATGATACAAACAAACACTAGGAAAAAAACGTTATTTGGATGAATGAAAGTCAGCCCTCACTGGGGCAGGAAGCTGCAGGAAGGAAGAGCTTCAGGACGGTCCTGAATGGTGAAGAGAATCCTGATGTCTAGTACCAGCGTGTGGACGCCGTGCTGGGCACCCCCTGGGGAAGGAAGATGGTGACAGCAGCAGCAGCAAGGGCGGGAACCAGTGGGCGCGAGGAGCCTGCTCAGCGTCCCTGGCTCATTCAGGAGATGCTAATGAACTTAAGGGCATGTTTCAAATCTCTCAGGCAACACCCAAGAGAACAATATAAAAATATATTACTAAAACTCTAATAGAAGAGACAGAAGAAAATTGATCACTGTCAGAAAGCAGCAAAAGAAGAATAAAGGAATAAAAACATGAGATCCATAAAACGAGGAGCAAGACGATGGCAGAGAATCAGCCATGTGCGCACTCACCTTAAAAGTGAGCGGCCCGACGCTGTACCTCTTAAATGACAGAACTGGCCAGCTAGAGAAAGAAAAGGAGTCCCAACTGTATGTCCACGTAAGACGCACTTTGTATGCAGCATAAAGACAGAGAGGCTGGCAGCACAAGGTGGGAAAGGATGTGTCATGGAAGCGCTGACCCAGATGGCAGCCGGGTGCCTGTGTTATCAGGCAAAATGCACGTGACGGCAGGAAGTGACAGTGAGAGGGGGAGAGAGACACTTCACAGTAATGACTAGGTCCGTTCCACAAGAAGATAAAACAATCCCAAATTCGTAGGCATCTGACAAAACAGCCCCAAAACACATACAGCAAAACTGACACAACTAAGAAAAAAGTACAAGTTCATGGTCAGAGCTAGAACTGTGGACAGGCCACTCTCCATAACTGATAATCCGAGTTTAAACGAGGTAGTCGGTAGGGGTGCAGGAGCTCTGAGCAGCAGGACTAGTCAGGAGCCCTGAGCAGCAGGTCTAGTCAGTCAGGAGCCCCGAGCAGCAGGACTAGTCAGTCAGGAGCCCCGAGCAGCAGGACTAGTCAGTCAGGAGCCCCGAGCAGCAGGACTAGTCAGTCAGGAGCCCCGAGCAGCAGGACTAGTCAGTCAGGAGCCCCGAGCAGCAGGACTAGTCAGTCAGGAGCCCCGAGCAGCAGGACTAGTCAGTCAGGAGCCCCGAGCAGCAGGACTAGTCAGTCAGGAGCCCCGAGCAGCAGGACTAGTCAGTCAGGAGCCCTGAGCAGCAGGACTAGTCAGTCAGGAGCCCCGAGCAGCAGGACTAGTCAGTCAGGAGCCCCGAGCAGCAGGACTAGTCAGTCAGGAGCCCCGAGCAGCAGGACTAGTCAGTCAGGAGCCCTGAGCAGCAGGACTAGTCAGGAGCCCTGAGCAGCAGGACTAGTCAGGAGCCCTGAGCTGCAAGACTAGTCAGTCAGGAGCCCTGAGCTGCAGAACTAGTCAGTCAGGAGCCCTGAGCAGCAGGACTAGTCAGGAGCTCTGAGCAGCAGGACTAGTCAGGAGCCCTGAGCAGCAGGACTAGTCAGGAGCCCTGAGCTGCAGGACTAGTCAGTCAGGAGCCCTGAGCAGCAGGACTAGTCAGGAGCCCTGAGCAGCAGCATTAGTCAGTGTCACCTGATACACACACAACAACATCCCCAGGACTCCAAAATGTATTCTCAAGTGCACAGCCGACATTTACCAAAACACATCCTGGGGCAGGCCACAGGGCAAGGCCTCACCATTTCCAAGGACTGGGATCACAGAGGACACGCTGTCTGATCAACAACCAGGTGAGCCACTTGGAAGCTGAGCCCCAAGCCCAGTTAAACCTTCAAAGGAGGGCAGCCGGACCCACAGCTGACTCCAGCCTCACGAGAGACCCTGAGCGCGACACCGGCTAAGTGCTCCGACTCCTGCCCTCAGACGCGGGAAATGGCGAATGAACGTCTGCTGCTCCGGCTGCTGGGCCGTCACCGGCCACGGGCGCCTTTTCTGGCTTCTCTAGTGGAAAGCTTAGATGCTCAACTGCACACCGTCCTTCCTCTCTAACACGTGGGTCTGGAAGTGATGTGTTTCTCTCTAAGCACCAGTTAAACTCTCAGAAAGCACGGAAAGAAAATGCAGGTGCCGAGACCCGTGAGACAGAACACAAGCCACAAATCCAGTGGCCTGGGGTGTTTGGAAAAGCAGAACAACGTCGATAAATCCCTGTTAAGAATGATAAAGAACACAAGGCCGAGAATAAAAAGGAGACATTGTTACGGGTCCTAAAGGTACCGAGAATAAGAGGCTATTACGAGGAAGCTGATGTTAATACATAGCACAGATTGGATGAAATGAGGAAACTCACTGAAAACCGTATTTACCAAAATTAACACAAAAAGCAGTCTGAATTGTCTTATCTCTTTAAAAGAAATCAAATGAAAAATGTTTTCAAGATCCAATCAGATCCAAGATGGCTGATAACTAGCAGCTCGGGATTGTAGCTCCCATTGAAAGCGCAAAGAAGCAGAGGACGCCACACCTTCACATGAATTCTTGTTGCTTACGCACCAGGAGATTCCCAGCGGAGGAGCCCCACGGGTCGCCAGCGCGACTCTTGTGACCGGCGAGGCGGTTTTGCCGGCGCCTCGGAGCGTCGGTTCTCGGTGCAGAGTTGGAAAAGCACCCTCAATCTTAACGCCGCTGATTTAGTCGGTGCAGTGGGTTGCTCAGATTTCGGCGCTGAGAATCAGTAAGTCGGACGTCCACTCAGGAACCCAATTACAAAGACGGTGATTAAAAAGACTACAGATGGATGAATCTACAACGAAGGGAAGAAAACGGTCAAAAAAGGCTGAGAATACCCAAGATCAGAACGCCTCTTCCTCAGCAGGGGATCCCAATTCCTCATCAGCAACGAAACAAGGCTTGATGGAGAACGAGTGGGTTCCAATTACAGAAGCAGGCTTCAAAACGTGGATAATAAGAAACTTCAGTGAATTAAAAGAACTTGTTATAACACAATCTAAAGAAACTAAGAACTTTGAAAAAAGGTTTGATGAAATGTCAACAAGAATACAAAATTTAGAGAGGAAAATAAGTGAATTGATGGAGCTGAAAAACACAATACGAGAACTACGTGAAGTATGCACAAGTTTTAACAGCCGAATTGATCAAGCAGAAGAAAGGATATCAGAGGTCGAAGATCAACTCATTGAAATAAAACAAGAAGACAAGACGAGAGAAAAAAGGATAAAAAGGAACGAGCAAAGTCTCCAAGAAATATGGGACTATGTGAAAAGACCTAATCTACGCTTGATAGGTGTACCTGAATGTGACGAAGAGAATGAATCCAAGCTGGAAAATACGCTTCAGGACATTATTCAGGAAAATTTTCCCAGCCTAGTAAGGCAGGATAATATTCAACTCCAGGTAATACAGAGAACACCACAGAGATATTCCTCAAGAAGAGCAACTCCAAGGCACATAATCGTCAGATTCACCAGGGTTGAAATGAAGGAGAAAATACTAAGGGCAGCCAGAGAGAAAGGTCAGGTTACCCACAAAGGGAAGCCTATCAGACTCACAGCAGATCTCTCAGCAGAAACCCTACAAGCCAGAAGAGAGTGGGGGCCAATATTCAACATCCTTAAAGAAAAGAACTTTCAACCCAGAATATCACATCCAGCCAAGCTAAGCTTCACATGCGAAGGAAAAATAAAGTTTTTTGTGAATAAGCAAGCACTCAGAGATTTCATCACCACCAGGCCTGCTTTGTAAGAGCTTCTGAAAGAACCACTACACATATGAAAGGAACAAACAGTATCAGCCTTTCTAAAAAAATTATCAAAAAGAGCATCAATATAATGAAGAATTTATATCAACTAATGGACAAAATAGCCAGCTAATGACAGTATTAAACTCACATATATTATTATTAATTCCAAATTTAAATTGACTAAATCCCCCAATCCAAAGACAGGTAATTTGAATAAAAAACTAAAACCCATCAGTATGCTGCATCCAGATCCATCTCACATTCAAGGATACATAAAGACTCTAAACAAGGGATGGAGAAAGATTTACCAACCAAACAGAGAGCTAAAATAAATAAATAAAAAATAGAAGTTACAATTAAGCAACAAAGATCAAAAGAAGCAAAGAAGGACATTACATAATGATAAAAGGATCAATGCAATAACAAGAAGAGCTAAAGATCCTAAATATATACGCACCCAATACAGGAATACCTAGACATACAGGACTTATAAAGAGACTTAGACTCCCACATAATAATAGTGGGAGACTTCAACATTAATATTAGACAGATCAATGAGACAGAAAATTAACAACGATATTCAGGTCTTGAACTCAGATCTGGAACAAGTAAATGTAATTAACATTTATAGAACTCTCCACTTTAAATATACAAAATATACACTCTCATCAGTACCACATCATATCAATTTAGAGGTTTAAATGAAATCTTGGTTGGCTCCTTGTTTGTTATTCTCTTCCCTCATTTTCTTTCATGTCACCATTATTGAGGACAATTGTAGGCATACCCATATTTAGACTGCATTCTAGCCTGGGCAATAAAGCAATACCCCCATCCTCTCTCCCTCTTCCTCTTTCTCTTTCTTCCTCTTCTTTAAAAAAAAAAAAAAAAAAAAAAAAAAAAAAAAAAAAAAAATAAGTAGGGGCAATACATAAAAAAAAAAAAAAAGATTGTTGCATAGGTACACACTTGTCAGTGTGCTTTGCTGCCTTCCGTCCCCTCACCTGTAAAAAAAAAAAAAAAAAAAAAAAAAAAAAAAAAAAAAATCCAATCAAACACTCAGCACAAGACACTAAGTCACACGGAATCTACACAGCCTGGGCAGGCAGAGTGTGAAATAAGGCTGATCCATGACGCAAGGTCTGCGGGCCCTGCCGTGGCCCCGGGATGGAGGCCACTGTCCCACGTGCAGGCCGAGTGGCAGCAATCAGGAAGGGGTCAAGGCCGAAGAGGGCCCTGTCACCGGGCAGGGAGCAGGAAAGGGGGGCCCTGTCACCGGGCAGGGAGCAGGAAAGGGGGGCCCTGTCACCGGGCAGGGAGCAGGAAAGGGGGGCCCTGACACCGGGCAGGGAGCAGGAAAGGGGGGCCCTGTCACCGGGCAGGGAGCAGGAAAGGGGGGCCCTGCCTCTGGCCTCGCAGGAATCAGATGACCTGGTCTCTTCTCCCACACTAAAGTTACGAAGTGAATGAAAGCTATGAGGACTTTCGTAACAAGGGCTCCAGGGCGGGAGAGAGGCTGGTGCCTGACCTTTCTGCCACGTGGATTGACAGGAACCTGCGGAAAGGAGTGAAAACAGGCCACGTGCGCGCCGTGTCCTTTCGTTTAATTCGGCTGAAATCTTCCACGGCCTCAGGAGAAACATGGACCATCTAAGAAAACCAACAGGCTGCCATGAAACAGCCATAAGAGGAATGCTGAACCTGGTGCTCTCCCGGCCACCACGCAGGAGGCCACGCCCGGGAAAGAAGACTGAGCATCTCCTGTCTGAAGACGTTTCCATCAGTCCAGCCACCTGGTGTCATGGCATCTGCGAACATTTCCCGATTCTTAATATTTTGTGTTAAAAAATGTATTTTGAGGCCGTGATGCTGGCGGGCGAAGCGCAAGGCCTCCAGTGAGGGCAGTCCATCGCTGGTCTTTGTCCACGGCTAATCCCAGTTTTAGCTTCAATACTTCATCCTGTAGCTCTCTGGCCTTGTGGGAGGCAAGGGAGGCAGCATTAGAAAGGCTGGCAGGACTCAGGACGTCACTACCTCTCCGGCTCAGATTCCACGTGGGGCCCAGGCCACGTGGGAGTGAGCAGGGCCAGCCCTGCTTCCCCAGGGACCCCTGTAAGCCGCATCACGGCACGGGCCCCCTGCGACGGGCCGGCAGCCTACTTCCAGCCAGCTCCCAGGCCTTCCGCCCCAGGACACGCCCTCTGCAGGCACACACGTGGCCCCACCCAGGTGTCCTGTGCAGACGGTCTCCTGAGAGACGCGTGTCAGTAGATGAACAGACACTTAGGGTCCCATCCTGTGGGCAAAGGGAAGGCTGGTGCCACACTCGGGCAGCGTGCTGGCAAGCATCACCACAGTCGTGGCCCCACCTGAGACCCGGAACTACCCTGGGAGGCAGATGGGGTCACAATTGCCACCCTCACCCCACAGACACAGGAGCAGTGGATCGGGGCAGAAGGAAATTGCCAAGTCTGAAAGCAGGGGCAGGTTTTCTGTTACAAACCCACACTCTGCGGCCAATGGCCTGGGCAGAACAAGGGAAGCCGGAGAGGGCACTGCGGGGGCCTCAGGTGCAGCAGCTGAGGAGGGGCTCTTTGTGTTCCTGCCCCTCCGGCCCGTGGGCATCGCCTCTGCAGAGTCCCAACCTCCCCACTCCAAGCACAGGAGCCCTGGGCCGCCCGGCTCCCCTCTCCCTCGGCAGCCGGCCCCGCTGGGGGCAACCTGTGCAGGTCCCCGGAGACCCCTGCAGCCTCCTCTACCGCTCACATAGCCACATCCCAGCTCAGGGCTTATGGCACTACAACACGGGCAATATCAATTGTCACTGACCCAGATTCCTACGAGAAGCAAACTGTGGTCAGTAACTGTCTCAGTTGGCTGGTGCCTCAGACAGTGCCACGGAGCCGGCCGGCCCTCCTGGCCCATTGTGCACCTGCCCGTCTGCAGGGCTCAGGAAGGCCATGCGTGGCCACTGTCACCACCGTGATGCCTGCTCGGTCAGCTTCTCTAGGGACAGCGCTGTCTCCTTCTGGGAGGCTGGAGGCGTCAGTGGGCTGGGCAGAGCAGGGAAGCGGACTCAGGGCCTTGGCATGACCTGCTTCCTTTCTTTTGAGGCAGAGATCCAGAAAAGACCTACAGCTAACATTATTCTTAATGGTGAGAAACTAGAAGCTCTAGGATGGAGTCCACTGTCCCATGTGCTGGCTGAGTGGTACCAACCAGGAAGGGGTCAAGGCAGAAGGAGGGCCCCGTTGCCGGGCAGGGAGCCGGGAAAGGAGGGCTTCCGGTTTCTCACCATTAAGAATAATGTTAGCTGTAGGCCTTTTCTGGATCTGCTTTAACAAGCTGAGAAGTTCCCAGCTTATCCTAATTTGCAGAGTTTTTATCATGATAGCTGTTCTATTTTGTCAGGTGCTTTTTCTACATCTATTGATAAAACCAACTGGTTTTTCTTGTTTAGCTTACTGATGTGATGAATTGCATTGAGTGACTTTTAAATGTTGAACGAGGGTGTGTGATTGCTTTAATACACTGCTGGATTTGATTTCTGAATGGTGAGAATTTTTGCATCTATGTTCATGAACAATGCTGGTCTATGTGTTCCTTTCTTGTAATATCTTTGTATGGTTTTGGATTGGAGTAATGCTGGCCTCTTAGATTGAGTTGAAAGTTTTCCCTCTGTTTCTATCTTCTGGAAGAGATTATAGAGAATTGGTAGAGTTTTTTCCTTAAACCTTAAATGTTTGGTAGAATTCACCAGTGAACCCATCTGGGCCTGTGATTTCTGTTTTGCAATGTAATGAATTATTGATTAATTTTCTGTAATAGATAGAAGCACATTCACATCACTTATTTCTTCTGCAAGTTTTGGCAGATGTTGTGTTTCAAGGGATTCATCTATTTCATTAAAGTTATCAAATCTGTGGGCCTAGACTTGTCTATGACACCAAATAGACTTTGAGTCCATACTCTGAAGCACTGGATTGAGACACAGATGTTCTCAGCCCTAAGAGGTCGCGTTCCCGTGTCCAAGGACAAGGTTATACTCACAAATGACAGATGTGGAGAGAGTAAAAGTTCATCTAAAGGCAGGCACAAACGCCCTGGGCCGCGGAGGAGAAGTCTCAGAAGAGGGGTACGCGTCAGGCTGGGGGGGGTTCTACAGGAAGTGTCTCTACACCCTGCCCTCACGCCTCCTCTCTTTCATCCCCGCTTTAGGAGCAAGGGAGACGGGGTAACGCAGCCTGGAGCAGGGACAGTGGGGCGTAGGGACAGGAGGGCCGGGTCTGCTTCCTCCTCTGGCAGTGCTCCTGGCTCTGGGGCAGCCCAGATGCAGCCCACACCAGCCTGACCTGTGTCTGGGCACGGCATACTGACCCGGAAGAGCCCATGAGCCAGGGGTCCTGGGTAGCGTGGGAGGACAGGGCAGCATTCTTACGGCTGTAAGAAGGGTGGGGACACAGGTATCCAGGTTCACTGCCAGCGAGGACAGCTGTGTCCTCCTCAGCTGGATGGGCTGGCCAGGCAGCAATTCGGGCAACAGAGCACTCTCCTTCATCCCTGCGTCTCTCCCACCACCCAGGACACGCCGGCTACCAGAAGGCGGCATCGGCGTACGGTGAGTGGACAGACACCATTGGCGGTGGCTGAGGGGATGGTTAACATTCCAAACATACAGGAGACATCTCCATGAGCTGTTCCAGGAGGTTCCTGGTCAGGAGGCCTCATCCCCATGAATGTCGGTCTGCCTACACAGACACTGAGCATGGCAGCCATGGTCCAGATGGCCTCAGCCAGACCCGTCTCTGTAGCAGCGTCCCTCATGGCCCAGCCCTGGGTCCAGAGCTTGGTTCTGCTGGGTGCAAAGCCTCAAGCAAGCGCCCCATAGACACGTGCAGAGGACTGGCCCCCGGTCCCCAGCCCGCCAGTAGGCCGCCACTCCACCATCAGCGGCCCGGTGCCACGATGCCGAGGCCCACCATGTAGCCGGGCACATCTGAGGGTTCAGGACCTCAGCTGAGACGCTTTCCTTCTCATCTGACCAACTGGGGTTCTGGGAATTCCCACACCCCCATAAAACACATTCAACACAGTCCCATGGTTTTCAGAGAAAAACCGTAGGTTTTCAGTCCCACGGTTTCTAGAAAACACATGCTCTCAAGAGGCATAGTGAGTTCCCTTCATTTTTAACAAAACAGCACTTTAGGCTGGGTGTGGTGGCCCAGCACTTTGGGAGGCCAAGGCGGGCAGGTCATCTGAGGTCAGGAGTTTGAGACCCCATCTCTACTAAAATAGCTGGGTGTGGCGTGCGCCTGCAGTCGCAGCTACTCAGGAGGCTGAGGCAGGGGAATCGCTTGAACCCGGGAGGAAGAGGCTGCAGTGAGCAGAGATCGCACCATCGCACTCCAGCCTGGGTGACAGAGTGAGACGCCATCTCAAAAAAAAAAAAAAAACAAACAAACGAGAAACAAAATGCCCACAATTTTTTAAACAGAACCAAGAACTCCTCACGATTTCCAGATCCTCGGCGGCCTTCCTCATCTCCAGCGGGGCCTGGCCACGGACTCTTTGCTCGCGCATTTGGCGGATGTGCTGTTTGATCCTCTCTTCCAAGTTCCCCTCTTGGAAGGCACTGAACACAAAGGGCAAGGAGGGAACAACACATTTACTCTCGTCCCAGCAACGCCCACGCAACCACGGAGAAAGCCTGCTCCTTCTTCCCAGAAGCCCCCGACGGCGACGCCAGCTCCCGTGGAGCTGCCCCGGCCTCCCCGGCACCCTCTCTCCTCCAGACTCACTCCCGGGTCCTGGGCTGCCTCTCCCATCCCTTCTTCAGTAGTTCAGAAGCTGCCAGAACACACACTATTCTTATTGAAAAACCTCAAGCTGATTTAGGATATGACACATTTAGGACACTGTGCGCTGCCACAGGAAGGGAGGCGGAATACTCGGTTCTCCCAAATCCTTAAATAGAGGAACAGAAAAGTGCATTCAATTATTGTCTTAAACATATTTTCTCTGCTGGCATTGGGGCTCAGGGGCTTGGGGTTCCTTTGATTTTAAAGACAACGACTCAGTGGTAGAGGACAGCTGGGGAACTGCTGCAGGGGAGCTGTGGGGTGGCCGGGCCCACTCCTGTCTGCATGAGTGTGGGGCCCCAGGGTGTGGGCCTGGGTGTAAGTGTAGGTATGGGCGTGGGCATGGGGGTAGGTGTGGGTGTGGGGTAGATGTGGGAGTAGATGTGGGAGTGAGAGTGGGCGCGGGTGTGGTGTGGGTACAGGTGTGGTGTGGGCATGGGTGTGGGTGTGGACACGGGTGCGGATGTGGTGTGGGTGTGGGCGTGGGTGTGGGTGTGGGCGCGGGTGCGGGTGTGGGCGTGGGTGTGGTGTGGGCGCGGGTGTGGTGTGAGCGCGGGTGTGGTGTGGGCGTGGGTGTGGTGTGGGCGCGGGTGTGGTGTGAGCGCGGGTGTGGTGTGGGCGTGGGTGTGGTGTGGGCGCAGGTGTGGTGTGGGCATGGGTGTGGTGTGGGCATGATTGTGGTGTGGGTGTGGTGTGGGTGCAGGTGTGGTGTGGGCATGAGTGTGGTGTGGGCACGGGTGTGGGTGCGGGCACGGGCGCGGGCATGGGTGTGGTGTGGGCGCAGGTGTGGTGGGCATGGGTGTGGTGTGGGCATGTGTGGTGTGGGCGCGGGTGTGGTGTTGGCATGAGTGTGGTGTGGTGTGGGCACGGGTGTGGTGTGGGCATGGGTGTGGTGTGGGTGCGGGTGTGGTGTGGGCATGGGTGTGGTGTGGTGTGGGCGCGGGTGTGGTGTGGGCATGGGTGTGGTGTGGGCGCGGGTGTGGTGTGGGCGCGGGTGTGGTGTGGGCATGGGTGTGGTGTGGGTGCGGGTGAGCTGTGGGCATGAGTGTGGTGTGGTGTGGGCATGGGTGTGGTGTGGGCGTGGGTATGGTGTGGGCATGGGTGTGGGTGTGGGCACGGGAATGGGTGTGATATGGGTGTGGGCATGGTGTGGGCATGAGTGTGGTGTGGTGTGGGCGCGGGTGTGGTGTGGGCGTGGGTGTGGTGTGGGCGCTGGTGTGGTGTGGGTGTGGGTGCGGGTGTGGTGTGGGTGTGGGTGTGGTGTGGGTGCAGGCATGGGTGTGATATGGGCGTGGGCATGGTGTGGGCATGAGTGTGGTGTGGTGTGGGCGCAGGCGCAGGTGTAGGTGCATGCACCACTGTGAACAGATGGCACCCCTCACTTGGCCTCCCAGGAAACCCCGTCACTCCCAGCAGCAGGGCTTGTGCCCATTTTGCCTGCTTTTCAGCGTAACTGGGGGAAAGACAGCGTGATGTCCTCTGGAGTCCTAGGGCACGCAGCCGCCAGGTCGGGCATGCTCTGTCAGTGCCTCAGACCCGCTCTTACTGTGCCCAGGGTGATGGGGGGTTCACAGGCCACCGTGGTCTGCTGTGGGCTTTTTAAAGGCCAAAGATGACACACAGATGCCCTGGAGGATGTAGGAGAAACCTCTGAATGTTTGAGACCAAATGGTTTTAGTCTAAACCACTTTCACAAGCTTGGGGGGTTAATCCAACCTAGCTGACCTTCGAGATTTTCCCCAAACACTTGGCCTCTGTGAGGAGCAAATTCTGCGGGAACAGAACATCACCCTTTGCCCGCCACGTCTCATCCCACCTCGCCCTTCCTCCAGGTCTCTTACGCCACAGCTGGGACACAGGGGACGTTAAACTGAGTGGGGAGTCCCCTGGCAGACGCAGGCTGAGCAACAGGGCCAGGGGCCAGGCCTGGGGCCTCCCAAGCTCCGGACCCACAGTCCCTTCTGCTCTGGCCTCTGAGTCCAGTGAGGCACCTTCAGTGACAGCCACAGCCGAGCCTCATGCAGATCAGGAGAGCAGCTCGGAAAGTACGGGGACACGGGAGAGCTGTGCTCACGCCCTGGGGCCTCCAGTGGTCTCCCTGAGCCCCCCTTGGCTTCCCAGGATACCTGGGAGGTACGAGGGAGGGGCCCAGCTGCAGAGTCGGCGTGGGAAATGCCTGGACAGGAAGGCGTGCCCACACTGAGGTTCTGCCTCAGCCTGGTCCTCAAACACGGCTCAGAGGAGGTGGACGTGACTAGGGAGCCCAGTGGTCACCCCCAGGGTGCAGCCGCTAACTCAGCTATAGGAGCTGTGAACATGAGAAATCAAAGGAAGCAGCTGTGAGGTGAGGGGGTGAGCCCCGGGACCCCTGAGCTGCTGTGAGGTGAGGGGGTGAGCCCGGGACCGCCGAGCTGCTGTGAGGTGAGGGGGTGAGCCCCGGGATCCCTGAGTTGCTGTGAGGTGAGGGGGTGAGCCCTGGACCCCTGAGCTGCTGTGAGGTGAGGGGGTGAGCCCCGGGATCCCTGAGTTGCTGTGAGGTGAGGGAGGTGAGCCCCGGGATCCCTGAGTTGCTGTGAGGTGAGGGGGTGAGCCCGGGACCTCTGAGCTACTGTGAGGTGAGGGGGTGAGCCCTGGACCCCTGAGCTGCTGTGAGGTGAGGGGGTGAGCCCGGGATCCCTGAGTTGCTGTGAGGTGAGGGGGGTGAGCCCCGGGATCCCTGAGTTGCTGTGAGGTGAGGGGGGTGAGCCCCGGGACCCCCGAGCTGCTGTGAGGTGAGGGGGTGAGCCCCGGGACCCCCGAGCTGCTGTGAGGTGAGGGGGGTTGAGCCCAGGACCCCTGAGCTGCTGTGGGGTGAAGGGGGGGTGAGCCCAGGATCCCTGAGTTGCTGTGAGGTGAGGGGGGTTGAGCCCAGGATCTCTGAGCTGCTGTGAGGTCAGAGGGGGTGAGCCCAGGACCCCTGAGCTGCTGTGAAGTGATGGGGGGTGAGCTCAGGATCCCTGAGCTGCTGTGAGGTGAGGGGGTGAGCCCCTGGGAACCCTGAGCAGCTGCTGTCACACTCCCAGCCAAGCCCCTCCCCTAACCCTCAAGGCCCACCCAGGGACCGGCTTCTGTCCTTGCACCCTGACTCTGCTCTGTCCACCGTGCGAGGAAAGTGCCCTGCCCTGAGCACTCATGGGTCCACCCCGTGCTCCGCAGCCCCATTTGCTCCATCCATCCCTATTCCCTGGTCCCCAGGGCACACCTCTGAGCCCCTACCCTTCCCCTCATGCTGTCCCAGGCTAGCACCAGGCTTCCTGAATACCCCTCCCTGCTCTCTGATCTCCAGGCCCCTGCACGGCCCACCAACGATGCCTAATGGGCCCATGGCTGCCTTCCTCTCCCGGGACAGTGGCCTGGCTGCCACCCTGGCCAGAGACTCAAAATCAAAATGTCTCAAGTGCTTTCTAACACAACTTCTCAGCTCCGCTATTTCCTCCACCCCATGGCTGCTATCTTGCCTGGGTCCCCTTTCACCTGGTTCAGTGCCTCACCACCTCACCCAACATCCCATGAGGGGAAGGGCTGAGTGGCCCTGAGGGTCAGGTCTAAGGAAGCCGGGTTGGGAAGGAGTGGGATCAGAACTCAGCACGAGAAGACCTGCGGAGGCAAGTGGTGGGGCGGGTGGGGCGGGGGGGGTGGGGAGGGTGGCATGGGGAGGGTGGGGCGGGGCGGGCTGCAGCAGGCAGATCTTGGATCTCGTCTCCCTTCAGCGCCCGCAGCGGCACCCGCCACAGAGGGCTCGGCAGCACTTTGCATCCTGCTGACCTACAGGAGCCATGGCTGGAAGAGGCAGTTCCCTGTGGGCAAGGGGTCCCATCTTCCAGGTTTGCCTGGCATCCCTGGTGCCCACACAGCCTGGGGCTTCAGGGCTGCTCAGTGCACACTCGAGAGGAAACAACAGCACCCACCTACGGGCAGCTGGCTAAGCCCTGGTAGGAGAGTCCCAGTCACGGCTACCAACCTCATTTCTTTAATTGCTTGTGATGATTTCTCTCTGCGTGGTTTCATTTTTCCAGGTGGATTCAGTGGTGTTTTCCCATTATCTATCAGATCTGCGGCAAAGGGAATCCTTGATGCCACCTAGGAAAAAGCAACAAGATGATTTCAGCAATCCCAGTAGAGGCTGTTTTCCCACACGGCTCACCTGCCAGGTGTGTTAGGCTTGCGCCTCGTCCGTGGAGAGGTGGGTCCGAGGCTGCCCCGGGTAGATGGTCTCTGCACAACAGGGTCATCCCGCAGGTGTCCACGCAACGTGGTCGTCCCCCCGGCGTCCACGCAACACGGTCGTCCCCCCGGTGTCCACGCAACACGGTCATCCCCCCGGTGTCCACGCAACACGGTCGTCCCGCAGGTGTCCACGCAACGCAGTCATCCCCCCAGTGTCCACGCAACACGATCATCCCGCAGGTGTCCACGCAACGCGGTCGTCCCCCCGGTGTCCACGCAACACGGTCGTCCCGCAGGTGTCCACGCAATGCGGTCATCCCGCCGGTGTCCACGCAACACGGTCGTCCCGCAGGTGTCCACACAACACGGTCGTCCCCCCAGCGTCCACGCAACACAGTCATCCCCCCAGTGTCCATGCAACACGGTCGTCCCCCCGGTGTCCACGCAACGCGGTCGTCCCACAGGTGTCCATGCAACACGGTCGTCCCCCTGGCATCCACGCAACACGGTCGTCCCCCCAGTGTCCACGCAACGCGGTCGCCCCCCAGGGTGTCCACGCAACACAGTCGTCCCCCCAGTGTCCACGCAGTGTCCACACAACGTGCCTGCAGGTGTCCACGCAACGCAGTCATCCCTCCAGTGTCCACGCAACACGGTCGTCCCCCCAGGTCTTGACTAGCTCTTGCTCCCCACTGGGATCTCTGTTTGACATCTTTCTGGGGCCTCCCTGACAGCCCAGGCTGGGGTGTGAGGGAAAGATGCAGAGTGAGGAAACCCTGGAGGGGCTGGGAAGGCTGCCCTTATGCCCCCATGCCAGGGTTGCTGCAGTGGCTGGCTTCCTGCAGGCATCTTTAGATGGACCCTCTCCACAGGGGCCCCAGATCTGCTTCTGCAGCTTCAGTGCCAGAGCCTGGGAGACTTGGGGGGACCCGACACTCGCCACTTGCTGTGCTGTGCAGCTGAGGCAGGAGGAGGTGAGTATTCGCAGGGTGCCGGGACCAATGCTGCTCACTGCTGCCTCCAGTGGACACATCTGAGAGCCACACTGACCCCCTGGGGACCCCAGGGAGCTTTGGGCCAGGTCTGCGGTGTGTGAGTGCCTGCAGTGTGCCGTGTGCACATGTGTGTGTTCCTGGGGACTGTCAGAAACCAAAGGGTAATAAAAACAGGTCAGAGGTAACCCTGGCAAAGGGGATGGAGAGGAGAACTAACCAGGGGCTCTCCCAGCAGGAGACTCGTAGGATGTGTTTAGCATTTACCTAGATGACGTCTGGAACTGCTCTATGCACCATTCTCTCCTCTAAATGAATTTCTAGAGCTAGGCCTTTGTCTGTCTGGCCATTAGTTTAACCCTAGTACATGCCTGACACTTAGAAAGTGTTTAGCAACCAGAGGGGTGGAAAGATGGGAGGCCGGGAGGACGAGGGACCACCCATCGACTGTTCCCTGTCTCTCCCACCCCACTACAGAGCCAGGCACAGGCGGCACACACAGCAGAGGAAACTCTTGGCTGACCATCTGAGAGCAGGGACACTTTCAGGTCATCAGAATTCTCCCAAAGATTCTTCCAACCAAAAGAAAAGAAAAATGCTAAATCCTAGCTGGGTTCAGCGGTTCACACTTGTAATCTCAGCACTTTGGGAGGTCAAGGTGGGCAGATTGCTTGAGGTCAGGAATTCAAAACCAGCCTGTCCAAGATGGCAAAACCTCATTTCTACTAAAAATACAAAAACAGCCAGGCGTGGTGGCATACGCCTGTAGTCCCAGCTACTAAGGAGGCTAAGGCAGGAGAATTGCTCCAACCCAGGAGGCAGAAGTTGCAGTGAGCGGAGACTGTGCCACTGTGCTCCAACCTGCCTGCGGTGACCCGAGGCTGTGCCACTGCGCTCCAGCCTGCCTGTGCTGACCCGAGGCCGTGCCACTGTGCTCCAGCCTGCCTGCAGTGAACCGAGGCTGTGCCACTGCGCTCCAGCCTGTCTGCAGTGAGCCAAGGCTGTGCCACTGCCCTCCAGCCTGCCCGTGGTAAGCCGAGACCATGCCACTGCGCTCCAGCCTGCCTGCGCTGACCCAGAGGCCATGCCACTGCGCTCCAGCCTGTCTCAAAAATCAATCAATCAATCCTAAATCCAGTAGGTGTTTTTATTTTCTTTTAAAATCATTTAATTTTATTTGTAAAGATATTGAAAGCATATATTTGGAAAGAAGCCCACCCATCCACATTTTACTCCCACTCTAAAATACAGAGAAGGCTTTTCCAAACATCCAGTTGTCTACTGAGCAACCAAAAGACCCAATACTAATGTGAAACACAAGGGAAGTCTGTGACAGGGTGCCGCTTTAGTGGCGTGGAATGGGGCTTTGCGCCAGGGTTTATATGTGGAGAGTCAGACGTACAATCCATCTGAAGCCCAAAACATGGGCTCCAGTCATGGCTGGTTTTAGAGCGGCATGAAGAGAAGCGCAGTGCTCTTCAGAAAGCAGGTGACGTACCCAGGTTTTACCCAGCCGCAGGCTTCAGTCCTGCAGCCCCTTAGGCAGCTGGAGCCTCAAGGCTCCCGCCCCATCAAATGTACTCGGGGTGACCTCACAGTGACGGATCAGCAAGAGCACATGCAGGGCAGGCGGGCCCACCCTGGGGCCAGGCTGCAAAGCCAGCGGCCATGATTCCCCAGCCCTGCCTAGCCATGGGCACCACAGGCCAATGGGACCCACCCAGCAGGGGCCACCGGGGGCGTGGCGCCCTCTCCTATCCTCCTGCCAGCTGCAGGGAGCCTGGCCCATGTGATGCTTGGAACCACTTCGCTGCTATGGACATGCAAATCTGAGTTGTCTCTCCAACAATACTGAAATACGCACATACACAACTGTGTACATAAATGCTTACAAACTGACTGCTTTTATTTCTATGAAACGGACTTCTCAACGTGTTCAAAGAAGGACACATTCTTAACTTGGAAGGACCCCTTCCAAGCAGCAGGTGGGAGGAGCCCCCACGCCGTCTCCCAAGCCCCCCGCCGCCTCGGACCCCCTCCCACGCCTCAAGGCCTAGGCCCCCCTCCCACGCCCCCCCAACCTCGGATCTCCTCCCACTCCTCACGGCCTCGGACCCCCCTCCATGCCCCGTGGCTCCTTCCCAGCGACCGCAGAGGCGCCTGCACACCATGTCCACCCCACATCTTCCCAGCAGGCTGAGCATCTATTCGTGTATTTACGGCCACTTGGGTTTTCTCTTCTGTGGACTACCTGCATACTCTTTGCCCATTTCTTCTACTGGATTCTCAGATTTTTAAAATCAATTTGTAGCCATTCTTTATATATTAGATATCAACATTTGGCACAAAGATTTTCCCTTGGACTCTGACTACAGCACTCTGGGCCATACGAAATATCTCACTAGTGCTCCCCGTGTGTGTAGCTGCCTCACCCCAGAGCCTGCAGGTACGCAGAGCAGCAGCCAGCTGCCACGGGGCCCTGCCCGCTGCAATGCCGAGGGTCTGCCCGGCACACAGCCCCCGTGGGCAGGGCCTGGGCCCGGTCCCTCCCTGCTTGGAGCAGGCCATCAGTACTCGCTGACTGAACTGGTCTATTTCATGATGAACGAGTTTCTAGAAAACCGACTTTTTTCTTTTGTAAGAAACGGCAGTCAGTGCATACAGTCATGCTGTGATAGCCTCACATGACGCAGAGGCGCACGGGCGGCAGCAGCGACCCCTCCTCTGCCCCGCCCCCGGGAGCCACAGCCCTCCTGGCAAAGTCCTTGGTTTGGTGTACATTCTTCCAGACCATAGGAGTTTTTGAGTGCTGTCCTACAACTTCCATTGTTTTAACTTGCAATGATTTTCTTCAAGACGTTTTCAGCCAGTGTGGATATGACCACTGACTCATCCTTTTGGTCAGCCACAGAGACAGGCCGTGGTCTGGATGTGGCGATTTAGCCATCTGGTGACACTTAAGATTCCCATATTTTTGCTATAATTCAGCTCTGAAAGCATTCTTAGTAATGTCTAATTGTGCAAGCACTTTTGTTCCTGGAAGTGGCAAAATATGTATTTTTAAATTTTTACGCATCCTGGGAAAATTAGGGAAAAGGTGACAGCAGAAATGCAGGCTGAGTGCTCTGCAGGCCAGGAGCTGAGGAGCGTGAGCTGTGGAGTCATGGCTTCATCCACATACTGGACACCATGAATTCCTAACTCTGAGCCTTGTTCTGAGGCAACATCAGGGAAGCTGGGGAGGGGGTAGAGGGAACCACTGTTTTTGCAACTTTCCTGTAAATCTAAAACTAGTTCAATACAAACTTAATAAAAGGAAGCACGCACTCCAGAACTGTCCAATCAGTCCACGCCTGCAGGCCAACGTGGCCACTCTCTGCTGCGGGGTGAAGCCCTCAGGGTCCCTACCCCAGCTAAGGGGGCTGCAGATACAACCCCTGGCCTTTCAGAGTAACACACAGGAAGCATTTCTTAAAAGAAAGAACTGAGGAAACATGTGTGACCAAATTCAAAGGCACATTTGCCTGACTGCTCACAGGACAGAGAAGCAAGCCAGGCGCATTCTGGAGGGAGGAGCCGCCAGCTCCCACCACCCTGTGCCCGCTGCCCTGCTCCCGGGTGAACTGAGACTCTCACATAGTCTGGGGAAAACAGGAAGAGGGACTGCACTCAGGGCATCTTGTGCCCCATGGCTTAAGAGAGCTACCAATCTCGGCTTCCAGGGGAACGGCCTGCCCTGAGGTCCAGAGACCAAGGGTGAGGAGCCCAGAAAGACCTCTGTGGGGCCCAGAGGCAAGCCCTCAAGGCTGGGGCAGGAAGCTGTGCCCTCTGGCTGGACGGTGGGCAACAGTTGTGGATGCCACACTCCAGCCCAGCCCCCCCAGCCAGCAGCCTGGCACAGGTGTCGGCTGATCCTCAGTGGACAGGGAGGCACATGAGCACCCACCCACCCCAGGACTGGACGAGGCCGGGACCCCACCTGCGTGCGCGTACCGTGCTCCTCCGAGGAGGCAGGAGTCTGCTGAGCCCCTCCTTTCTCCTCCTCGTCCTCTGGGCTCGCTCTCTCCACTCCTGCAGTGCCCTTCTCTCTCTGGAGAAAGGGAAAATTAATGCCGTTAAGTTACAAGCAGCTTCAAGCCAAGGCTATGTGATTTCTGTCACTTTACAGCTTGTGGTGCACCTGTCTCCCGGGGGACAGGTTGCGGCTGGGCACGCCCTCTGGTGGGAGTCCGAACGCAGGTTCCATCCCGAGGCTCTGTGTGTTGGTGCTGTAGGCAGTGTCTGACGCTGGGGCCCAGCCCCACCCAGGGACCCAGGAAAAGGCATCAGGACCCCTTCCAGGGAAGGGTGCCAGCTGGGCTGCCACTGCAGGTGCTGCATGAAGGGTGGGGCTGCCTGGCTTTGGGTTGTCCATGGAAAATCTGAATGCCTGTCCCTAAGTCCCTTCCTTCAGATACTTGAATTTCACTTTGAACAACAGGCACCTTCGGGCTCCCCAGTCCTGAGCCAGTCACATGTTCCCTCCTCACAGCTCGTCCCGAGGGCTGTGAGCATCCTGAGTGACGGCCAAACCGACACCAGGCCGGGCTCCTCGTGTGTGGCTGGGGTGGGTTGAGGTCCCCAGAGCCCTTGCTCAGGCCCAGGCTCCACCCCGGGAGGCCACATCTCTAGCATGCAGCCACCTGCCTCCTGAGCCAATCCCGCAGTCGTCCCTGGACTCCCGCGGCTGGTACCCCTCCCCATTCTGTCCCCAGATCCGGCCTCCTCTCGTCCCTCCCATCATCATCCTGGACGCCTGCGCCTGGCTCTGCTCTCCTTCCTTTCGGTCACAGCAGCTCAACTCTCCTGGGCTCCACCCGGCCCACAGCCCACCTCTGAGCACCTTCCTGCTAAGGGCTCCATCCCCAGTCGGTGCTGCCTGGGATCAGAGGCTGGCCAAGTCCTCCCCCTAGTGCCACCTCAGTACACAGGTGGTCTCAGCAGCCGCCTTGGGTGAGGCCGTGTGCTGCCACCTGCCTGGGTGGGCCCCAGGCTCCAGCCCCAGCCAGGCTGGTGCTCCCCGGGTCCCCTCAGCACCCACGGCACTGTGTGTGCAGTGGCCCTGTTGCGCTCCTGGCCTGGTCCTCTGCTTGGTGTCACTATCTCCTGGTCACACCTTGGGAAGCAAAGGGGTGACGTCATTCACAGGGTGATGGGAAGGGGGCCACTGTGCTGGGTCTGGGCCCTTGGGACAGGCCTGCCAATCTGCTCACTGGGAGGCCAGAGGGCACCGGCTCTGGGCTCGAGGCAGGAAGATAGAGAGGAGAGGGTTCGCCTGCTCTGTGTATCCAAGAACTGCTCTCCCATGAAGGTGTGGGACGATGCCTGGGGCCCGAGCCTGGCGTTCGGGGACTAAGAGTGCCCTTTCTGCTCACTGCAGCTGCTGGGGCCAAGAGCCTGGGGCAGGGGCTGTGCCTGCAGAAGGTCTCACCACACATCCTTGCCATCACAGCCACGGCCAAGAGGGTGCTGGTGAGCGGAACTCACACAGGCAGCCTCCGGGCAGGGCAGGGGATACCTGAAGAGTCAATGGGAGCAGGGGCCTGGATCGCACACTTCAGAAAACCGTACCCTGAAACTGGCAGAGCCAAGGCAGGAGTGGGACCCACCTGCAGCAGGGAAGGGAGGTGTCTGCTGGGGTGATGTGCAGTGAGGGGAGGTGTCTGGGGGGAGGGGTGCAGTGAGGAGAGGCATCTGCTGGGCACACAGTGAGGGGAGGGGGCTGCCTGGGCACATAGCGAGGGGAGGTGTCTGTGGGGGGAGAGGTGCAGTGAGGGGAGTTGTCTGCAGGGGGAGGGGCGCAGTGAGGGGAAGTGTCTACGGGGGAGGGGTGCAGTGAGAGGAGGTGTCTGTGGGGGAGGGGTGCAGTGAGGCGAGGTGTCTGCAGGGGGAGGGGCGCCTTGAGGGGAGGTGTCTGGGCCGAAGGGTGCAGTGACGGGAGGCATCTGTGTGGGGAGGGGCACAGTGAGGCAAGCTGTCTGTGGGTGGAGGTGTGCAGTGAGGGTAGGCATCTGTGGGGGAGGGGTGCAATGAGGGGATATGTCTATGGGGGGAGGGGCGCAGTGAGGGGAGGCATGTGAGGGCGGAGGGGTGCAGTGAGGTTAGGTGTCCGCAGGGGGAGGGGCGCAGTGAGGGGAGGCGTCTGCAGAGGGAGGGGCAGTGAGGGGAGGTGTCTGTGTGGGGAGGGGCGCAGTGAGGGGAGGTGTCTGCTGGGGGTGCTGCTCTTGAGAGGCTTACCTCCCAGAGACTGACGTGCCCAACTCTGTGAAGTCACCCTGAGGGACAGTGTGGGAAGGCTGATGGGCACCCCTGAAAGTCTTGCTGGTGCTCCCTGGGCCCCAGCAGCTATAGCCAGTGGCTGGCGAGACCGGGTTCCACAGTGCTGGGCTTCCCGTTGCAGCCCACGTCCTGGGACAGCCTGAGAAGCTCAGTGGGCCTCATCCCTGCCCGTCAGCATGGCAGCCCGCGGCACGGGACCAGCTCTGATGGCTTCACCTCACACATCCTTTTACTGAAGAAAAAGACAACTACAGTGTCTGTCTGGACGTCGGGTGACAGCCATGGATGGTCAGAATCTGTGTGTTGAACACGGTCCCTGTCACATGGGCCCGAGAGAAAACAGCACACACACAATGGGGTGGCTTCAGGAGGGTTTATTCCTGACAGGAGGGAGCGGGGAGCCACAGGGGCGGTGCGGGAGCTCTGTGCCAGTCAGGGCCGGGCTGAGGCCGTCCGCAGGCCCACACACCAGACCAGGCAAGGAGAGACTGCCGGAAACCAGAAGGAGGGCGAGGCTGGACTCGGCCAGCTCCAGGCAGCTCACAGACGGGCCGGGTGAGTAAGGATGAGGCCCTCGCGCTCCCTCTCCTCCTCGACCTCCTGCTGGGGGCCCCCACTGGCCAAAGCCAACCACCAGGTGCGGGGCACGGGGGTGCTGTGGCTGTGGTCCATGGCGGCCGGCCTCCTGGGGCCCAGAGAGGGGTGGAGCCAGGTGGTCAGTGGAGCTGGAGGACAGAGAAGACACTAAGCCAGCCAGCACGGCACTGACACACCTCGCAAGGTGGCGGCGCTGGTGGCGGTCACGGCAACACAAGGATGAGCCTCCCTGATGACCACGTCAGGGCCTGGGACACTGCAGGGAAGGTCAGGAGGACAGGACTGAGGAAACGGGACAGGAAAGATGGTGCGTGCCGCGAGGCAGCCAGGGCCCAGACCGACTCGGGACGGCCACCAGCCCGCACCTGTGCCTGCTCACACGTGGGCCTCAGGGCTGCCAACCAGTGAGCCACGTGTGGCACCACCGACCGCGCGGGCAGCCGGGCTTCCAGGTGAGAAAGAGATGGAGTCTGGATCAGCACCGGTGAGGGGAGAACCGACTAAGGACTTCCAGGAGGTCGGCTCCGGGTCACTGGGCCGGCTGTGCGGCCCGTCCTGCAAGGACTCACCGTCTCTGCTGCTCCATCAGAGCCTCCTTCTCCCGGAGCTCTAGGAGCGCGGCCGCTCGGCTGTCCTCCAGTCTTCTTGCTCGGATCGCCATTTGGGATGGTGACGAGAGGTCGGGTAAGATGTTCCTGCAGGAGGCCGTCTTCCTTCTAAAATCACAGTGTTTTTAGCTCCATGTTTAACAAAACCCTGTGGCGGTAACTCATACAATATGCGAAATGGGAAAGGAGGGCCTGCGGGTCGTCTGCTCGCCAGAACGATGATTGCGACTAGAGACTGCAGTCGCCCACAGAGCCCACGGTCTCGGCTGCTGATGTCAGGGCATGTGATGCAGATGTGTGGATGGCAGCAGGACCCTGTCCCCACACGCTCGCTGCCCGCCAGCTGCCTTCCCAGGACTCTCTACAGTCGGCTTGGGAGATGCGAAGGGCGCTCGGCCTCTGCACCTGCAACCCACCTGCGGGAGACCAGTGCTGCTCCCTGATCTGACCTGGATGGAGACACCCGCAGAAGCAACAGGGCCAGGCCAGCAGCTTGCATGGCTGGACAATGTGACGTGCCTGAAGTTCAGGTGCACGGGTTGGTGCTGCAGGTCAGAACCCCATTTCCGGGTGGTATGGGAGTGGGGGCGGGGCAGGCAAGGCCATCAGAAAGCGCCTGACCTCCACACACACACTCAGGCAGGGTCAGATAATGCGTCCCCCTTGAGGGAAGCTCACAGGACAGCAGAGGGGACAGCCAGGTGCATGGGGTCGCACGGTGCTGGCGATGTTCTCTCCCTGCCCATGACGGGGCTGACAGGTGTGCCCTGGTGTTTCCTCGCAGGGAAAACACCTGGGGAGAACCAAGCCAGAGACAGGGGCTCTGAGCCCAGGGCCAAGAGCCAGCCAGGTTCTAGAACATGACACCTCCTCACCATGAGCCTTGCACCAACGCAGCTTAAGAAACACAACTAGAAGCCCTGCCTGGTCTTGCCTCTGAAATCCAACACCCCGCCCAGAGGAGTAAGGCCCATCCCATTCCACAGCTGCCCTGGTGCAAAGCCTCACACCAGCAGCACATCTTGGGAGGCCACAAGCAAGCATCACGCCTGGTGGCCACATCCCAGAAAGCTGGCCTGCAACCCCACCCTGCTCCCCGACTGCACGGCCTCCCAGGAGGCTGGCCCCCCAACCCCTGACTGCACGGCCTCCCAGGAGGCTAGCCCACCCCCCACGCAGAACCTGCACAACCTCCCACCCTCATCTTCCCTGTCTGCACTGGAACAGCAGGGACTTCCCAGCAGAGCAGAGAGGGCAGGCATGGCCTGTGCTCTGGGACAGGGGTCACCTGGGGTGTACGCTGGGCACTGGTCTTTCCCCTACTGCTTTTGGAAGGGCAGGTGGCCCAGGCTCTCTGGAACACCAGGTTTCCCCTAGTGGTCTCAGGGTCCTGAGGAGTAGGGGGAGCCACCCCAAGGGAAAGCGGGCTGGATGTCGGAATCAGGCTGGGGCAGTGATGTCTTGTCACACCCCAGCTCCATGTTTGATGACTTCAGAATGTGTTTATTCCCTCCCAATATAATTTTGGGATTTCAGGGCCAGACTATTACTTTCCTATGTTTTTTACATAACATCACTTTTCTTGCACGTGTTTTTGACGCCAGCCCTCAGCCTCACAGGCAGGCCTGTGCCACGAGAGTCACCTGCTGTTCCCACCACGCCCACTGCTCCCCAGCCAGAGAACACAGAGCAAAGCCAGCCTCTGGAGCCCCAGACCTTCAGGAAGGAGCCACCACCCTGAGCGTGGTCCAGGGCCATCATCTCAGAGCTTCTCCTTAATACCCATGACCCCATGACCCCATGATAACCCCACCAAGTGGGGAAACTGAGGCCTTTGTAATGCACGTGATGCCACAACCATCCACACTGGAAAGCCAAGGCACAGAGTGGCTCTCCAGGGCTCACCCTGGGGCAGAGACAGCAGAGGGAGAAGACAACATTCAGGACCTACCCAACCACGGGGCAGGGGCGCCAGCCGAGGCCTCCTGTCAGAGGCTCCAGTTCTCTGCCCCAACTTCCCCAAACAGTTTCCGAAGCCTAGGGTCTCCTATCTAAATCTGCCATACTGATCAAATTATAAGTACCATGAATACGCATACCACAATTCACTGGGATTAACTATAAGAGGTCCTAACAATAAATAAATAAATGCAGGGAGGAGGGAGGAAAGTGGTTTCTAAGGAGCAAGCCTTGGCACATTCCTGCCGTTTCACCGTGTGACGGTGTGGACTGAGAACATCCCGAGCGCGTCGGTGCCTCTGAGACGCCATGTGGCTGGGAACCTGCAGGGTGCGCGGCCGGGACTCCCTACACTTTAATTTGTGACTAAGGCTTCCAAGGTCTGTTTTGTTTTGAACGTTGGAACCTACGGGACAGCTGAAAGATCAGGGCCGTGAACGCTGCAGGCCTCCACGCCGATGCCTCCGGGAGGTTTGGTGCCACCTTGCACCTGCTCATGTTGACTGCTGCATGGAGCCTGACAGACCACAGAACACCTCAGCCTCCGAGACATCTCCACCTCCAGGAAGCCATTGTTGTCCCTGTGGCTATGACAACATGCCCGCTGGAGAATGCATGATGTAGATTCACCAATTGTTATTTTGCAGCATAAAGGTTAGTTCAGGAAGTAGATGGCACAACCACTCCCTTCCTCTTCCCCCAGACAGCTGTGATTGCACACGCTCCCTTCCTTCCCCCAGACAGCTGCGATTGCACACGCTCCCTTCCTCTTCCCCAGACAGCTGCGATTGCACACGTTCCCTTCCTCTTCCCCAGACAGCTGCGATTGCACACGCTCCCTTCCTGTTCCCCCAGACAGGTGCGATTGCACACGTTCCCTTCTTCTTCCCCAGACAGCTGCGATTGCACACGCTCCCTTCCTCTTCCTCCAGAAGGCTGCGATTGCACACGCTCCCTTCCTCTTCCCCCAGACAGGTGCGATTGCACACGCTCCCTTCCTCTTCCCCACACGGCTGCGATTGCACACGCTCCCTTCCTTCCCCCAGACGGCTGCGATTGCACACGCTCCCTTCCTCTTCCCCAGACAGCTGCGATTGCACACGCTCCCTTCCTGTTCCCCCAGAAGGCTGCGATTGCACACGCTCCCTTCCTCTTCCCCCAGACAGGTGTGATTGCACACGCTCCCTTCCTCTTCCCCCAGACAGGTGCGATTGCACACGCTCCCTTCCTCTTCCCCACACAGCTGCGATTGCACACGCTCCCTTCCTCTTCCCCCAGACAGGTGTGATTGCACACGCTCCCTTCCTCTTCCCCCAGACAGGTGTGATTGCACACGCTCCCTTCCTCTTCCCCACACGGCTGCGATTGCACACACTCACTTCCTCTTCCCCAGACAGGTGCGACTGCACACACTCCCTTCCTTCCCCCAGACGGCTGCGATTCCACACGCTCCCTTCCTCTTCCCCAGACAGGTGCGACTGCACACACTCCCTTCCTGTTCCCCCAGACAGCTGCAACTGCACACGCTCCCTTCCTCTTCCCCAGACAGGTGCGATTGCACACACTCCCTTCCTCTTCCCCTAGACAGCTGCGATTGCACACGCTCCCTTCCTTCCCCCAGACGGCTGCGATTGCACACGCTCCCTTCCTCTTCCCCCAGACGGCTGCGATTGCACACGCTCCCTTCCTCTTCCCCCAGAAGGCTGCGATTGCACACGCTCCCTTCCTGTTCCCCCAGAAGGCTGCGATTGCACAGGCTCCCTTCCTGTTCCCCCAGAAGGCTGCGATTGCACACGCTCCCTTCCTCTTCCCCCAGACGGCTGCGATTGCACACGCTCCCTTCCTCTTCCCCCAGAAGGCTGCGATTGCACACGCTCCCTTCCTCTTCTCCAGACGGCTGCAATTGCACACGCTCCCTTCCTCTTCCCCCAGAAGGCTGCGATTGCACACGCTCCCTTCCTCTTCCCCCAGAAGGCTGCGATTGCACACGCTCCCTTCCTCTTCCCCCAGAAGGCTGCGATTGCACACGCTCCCTTCCTGTTCCCAGAAGGCTGCGATTGCACACGCTCCCTTCCTCTTCCCCCAGAAGGCTGCGATTGCACACGCTCCCTTCCTGTTCCCAGAAGGCTGCGATTGCACACGCTCCCTTCCTCTTCCCCCAGAAGGCTGCGATTGCACACGCTTCCTTCCTGTTCCCAGAAGGCTGCGATTGCACACGCTCCCTTCCTCTTCCTCCAGAAGGCTGCGATTGCACACGCTCCCTTCCTGTTCCCCCAGAAGGCTGCGATTGCACACGCTCCCTTCCTCTTCCCCCAGAAGGCTGCGATTGCACACGCTCCCTTCCTGTTCCCAGAAGGCTGCGATTGCACACGCTCCCTTCCTCTTCCCCAGACAGCTGCGATTGCACACGCTCCCTTCCTGTTCCCCCAGAAGGCTGCGATTGCACACGCTCCCTTCCTCTTCCCCCAGAAGGCTGCAATTGCACACGCTCCCTTCCTGTTCCCAGAAGGCTGCGATTGCACACGCTCCCTTCCTCTTCCCCAGACAGCTGCGATTGCACACGCTCCCTTCCTGTTCCCCCAGAAGGCTGCGATTGCACACGCTCCCTTCCTCTTCCCCCAGACAGGTGTGATTGCACACTCTCCCTTCCTCTTCCCCCAGACAGCTGCGATTGCACACGCTCCCTTCCTCTTCCCCACACGGCTGCGATTGCACACACTCACTTCCTCTTCCCCAGACAGGTGCGACTGCACACACTCCCTTCCTTCCCCCAGACGGCTGCGATTCCACACGCTCCCTTCCTCTTCCCCAGACAGCTGCGATTGCACACGCTCCCTTCCTCTTCCTCCAGAAGGCTGCGATTGCACACGCTCCCTTCCTCTTCCCCCAGACGACTGCGATTGTACACGCTCCCTTCATTTTTTGCAGAACTGACCTTCCCCACCCCTACTTTTCACAGGTAAAATGTGCATTCAGTGAGCCTCATCAAAGCCTCACAAGAATGTGACCACTGGGCTCACTGCCTGCCCCCATTTTTACTTTTCACTTTTCTTTCTTCCTTCCCCTGAAGCCCCCTCTTTACGGAAACTTTAAACACGTCCTCAAAGCTCTCTCTGGAGAAAGCACAGGGCAGAGATCTTACTGTCACTGTGTTTCTCGCCCCTGAGTGCTTCCTGAGCCCTGGCCAGCTCAGCCTCTGAGTGCCCTGAGCTGTGCCACAGATGCTCTGGGCTGATGCGGGTCCTCGTCACCCTAAACCCGGGGCCGGCTCTCCCCGCACAGTAAACAGTGGCAGTGTGGAGGGACACTTTAAAAGGCGGACCTATTGTTTTAAAAGATAATTAAAAATAACTGTATAAATCCGCAAAGATCAAGACAATCCCCAGTTGCTTTTAGTTTTACCTGAAAATGTGCCTTGGCTTCGGCGGTTCTTTATTACTGTTCAAGGCCGCCTTGAGATTGGGAGGTAATTCCCTCAGTAAGAGCTGATTTCCAGGACCATCTGTCTTCACGTGCTCAACAATCTCCTGCCTCAGCTTCCAAAAGCGCCTGATCTCCTCCTCGCTGGGCCAGTGCTCTGAGGAGTCGGCGGACTTCCTGAGATCACTCAGGTCAGGCTTTTCCACGGGCGGGAGAAAGCCAGCCTTCTCTTTCATCACAGCCCGCTCCGGGTCCCCAGCACTCGCAGCTCCTTCATCGGACGCGTTGTCTGCAGACAACTCCAGTCCCAGGCTCGGGAGGGTGTGGAGGGTCATCTCTTTAGCCGGCGCAGCCCCTGGTAAAGTAAGACACTGCTTCAGGAGCCACCAACACCTTCCCTCTCTGACTCACGCCACAAGGCAGTGCCAGCGTCCTCTGGGAAGACCCCTAGATGATGGGGTGGGGTGCCCAGAACCCCCGTGGCCCTCACGCTCCCTGTCAGTCCAACCAGGGTTCAACCCATCCGCACCATGCCAGGCTGCAATGGCAGGCAAAGCAGCTCCACCAGGGGGGAATGGAAACAGCAATGCTCCACCAGGTGCGCCTGACCCTCTCACACGGGCCCCACCAGGCGCGCCTGACCCTCCCACACCGGCCTTACCACATTAGAGGAACTTTTTGCAAGTGTACACAGGCCAATCTTGCCACATTTAATCGACACTTCTGCTTCCCCTCAGATCACTTGGAATCTTTATTTCTAACTCATGTTTAGCCCATTATGCCTGCTTTTTCTTCTTTGGTGATACTTTTGATGACTTTTGCAAAACACAGCTTCAGGGAGAAGCCCAGGTACTTGGGGAGCCACTGGGGCCTACTGGCCAGTCTCCCTGCAAGTGCGTGCCCAGCACAACCGGAACGTAGCAGGAACAGTGATGGACAAAACCCCTCGAACACTGAACTGAGAAAGGAAACAGCTTTTTATTCAGCTGGGAGCTGTGGCGGCTAATGCCTTAAAGACAAGAGCTCACGGAAAAGCAGCTTCTCTCCCTTTTTATAGGCTTATAACTCTAAAGGGGGAACTGAGGCGAAACTGTGTCACTGTCTATTGGCTGGACAATTGACCTCACCATCTTTGACGTCATTGATTTGCTAGCTCATATGCAGCAGGAGCGGGAATAGGTGGGGGACGGGCTCACAGAGACAAAACAAAGGCAATAAATCATTAGTAGGCAGAGGTATTTCCAGGAGGGGTTCTGGGTTGTGCAAACGTGGACGTGACCCAGTGCTGGGCTCTGGCCGGTAGCGATAACATTCTTTGCAACACTCTCAAGGCTTGTAGATAGCAGAGACGCTGGGAACCTAAGAGGGAGTCATCTTCCCAGCCCCTGGGCCTCGCGTGGCCTGGTCAGTGGTGTCAGCAAGTCACGTGACCACGGATTCCGGCTCTTGGGTGTTTTCTCTCTCTTTAGTCTCCTTCTTATCTGGAGGCAGGAGGTGGAGTCCTGCGAGGAGGGGGATGGGGAGGGGGTCTCCCCTCTCAGGAAGGCTGAGATCCCAGGTGGGCGTCACAGTGGACACAGACGTGTGGACGTCACGCCCCTGGCTGCCACACGTTCCTGACTGCTACGTGCTTGGTCTTAGGTTTGAAAGGAAAAGTTCTAAAAAATGGGCAAACATGCTTCAAAACGTCCTATGAAGTTATAAAATTCCCTCTGGGGTACTAGTGACTAGAAACATGTATATTTGATCAATCTGCATGTGGATAATTGACTTAGGGCCAGTGACAAAACTGAAATTCATGAAAATGTAAGCAAACAGGAAGAACGGGATAGCAGCAAAAACACCTTTTTTTTTGGAACAGAGTCTCACTGTCGCCCAGGCTGGAGTGCAGCGGCACGATCTTGGCTCACTGCAACTTCCGCCTCCCAGGTTCAAGCAATTCTTCTGCCTCAGCCTCCTGAGTAGCTGGGACCACTGGCACGTGCCACCATGCCCAGCTAATTTTGTGTGGTTTTAGTAGAGGCAGGGTTTCACCGTGTTGGCCAGGATGGTCTCAATCTCCTGACCTCGTAATCCAGCCGCCTCAGCCTCTGAAAGTGCTGGGATAAGGTGTGAGCACCGCGCCCGGCCTGCTACTTTCTAAAGTTAATTCAAAGGGCAAAGTGCTAAACATGTACATAATAGAAACTAATCAAAAAAAGAGTCAGGCAGTATTTATTTTTGGCCAGTTACTTAATAACATTTTTAACTTTTATTTAGAAATGATTTCAAACTTATAGAAAAGTTGCAACAACAGTGCTGAGAAGTTGGTGGGCCCTGCACCCATCGGCAGCCGCTGCCCGGCGAGCCCATCTGCCCCCGCCTCTCTGGGGTGCAGTTACCAGGATGTCCGGGTAACTTCAGACATCCTGCCCCTCCACCCTCAGACGGAGACACTCACACACCACCACAGCGATTCACCAAAACCAGGCGTGTCCCATCGCTGACTTCTGTCATCCACTGCCTAGCCTTCCTCAAGCCCGAATCACTGCTCCCAAGGTGTCCTTTATCCTATTTTTCCCGACCCAGGATCCAATCCAGGATGAAGCCGTCACATCCACTTTCCTACTCCTTTAGTCTCCTTCAATCAACATGAACCCTCAACTTGTCCCTTTTTCACCCCGGCCCTCCAGTGGAGCCCGTCCGTGTCCCCCGAGCTCCCTGCGTGCCAGCTCCGCTGTGCCTGACGGCTGCGCCCTCCGTCCCTGTCTCGGCCATCTGCAGGTCCCAGTCCTGTCTCTCCTCGGCCGCCCCACGGCCTCAGCTACCTGCCTCCAGCTCCTGCCAGGTGCCCAGTGCCCACTTTCCTCTTCCTGTTCATATCACGACGCCCTGGCAGTGTCAGGGTCAAGGGTGCCCAGAGCCGGGCGGCTTCAGAGCGATGTACCAATGGAGGCTGCCACAACCTGGTTAAAATATGTCTACAAGCTCAGCAAGCACAGGGCCAACCGCTGATCCCTCATCATTTAAAACAATTTCCAAGTAGAGGCCACCTGGGTCAAAGTTCGAGGTCAAGTGTTATTCACAACGACCTAATTATTTACACATTTCAATTACAGCACATATATAATTATCTTGGCTAATTGTTCCAAACATATGCATTTTTCTTCAGTATCAAAGTACATCACAAATAGTAAAAGTTTAAATATTCGGAAAATATTTCAGAATATTTTACTTTTTTGTCGAGCCTTCTTTATGATTCTCCTTTATCTCAATTTTACTTCACTTTTTCCAAGTGTAAGTACAACGCCTACTCAAGACCAGAACACATCGTGAGCATCTGAAAACACCCAGCTGGTCAGCATGTTGAAAGAACGGAGCAGGTTAGTGAGCACCCACCAACGAGGTGACTGGATGAAACGTGTCTACGGGGCCATTTCCCTGCACCTTGATAGAACGAAGGAATCGTTCATTGTGCTTATTTTTAAATCACTGTCTAATGGAGCAGCAAGTCATTCCTGAAGCAGCTGCCTGTGGGTGGCTTGGAGGTGCTAATTCATTCATTTGATTGATCACAATAAACTTCTACCAAAACCCACTGTAGACAGGATCTATAAATGGGCACAGCAGTGTAAATCCGTGGCCAGATTTACAGCAGCGGGGAAAAGACAGAGAGATGACTGGGTCGTCCCAGAGACCAGCGTGCGCTGTGTCAGTTCCACAGAGGATGCACGGCTCCTGCAGTTCCCAGGACATTACTGAAGAGAAGACAGGCTCTGCCCTGATTTTAAAAAGCTGTAACTTCAGCGTTAATGTGCTTTGTCATAAATCACTATCCTACAAACCTTGAGAAGCTGGATTTCTGGGGAGAGAGTGTTCCACTGCCCACATCCGCAGGAAGTGCTGGATAGCCACCAATCCCTTCTGCACAATGAGCTGGGGAGGGAATTCCAGAGGGCAGTGCCTCAAGTTCAGGGCTTTCAGTGTAGCCACACTCCCTGCAGCGGAGAAAAACAACTGTCAGCATTCATACACTGTTCCTGAAATGAAAATGAGGAACAAGTAATAGTAAGTGTTTTCACGTTTTAACAAATGATTCTATTCAGTATTTGGGGTAAAATGATATGAACAGATGTCAAAGATGTGCTTTAAAGGTAACTATGCAGGAGACAGATAACACAAATTAAGACTGGGACAATTACCAAAAAACAAATAAATAAAATCAAACAAACAGGAGCAGCCACAACAACCTTCACAATTCTGTAAAATTCAGAATACAAAGTCGTGATACTATATTATCTAAAATGTTCATCTTCAACATAAAAATTGTAAGACATGCAAAGAAAAGGAAAACGTGACCTGCACTCAGGAAGTCAGCAGACAACAGAAACTGTCTTTGAGGAGGCCCTGATGTTGGGTTTAACAAAGACTTCAAAGTGGCCATTTAAATATGTTCAAGCAAATGAAGAAAATCATGCTTAATTAGAGAAAAATATAATACAGGACTCCACAAATGTGAAATGTCACTAAAAATGGAAATTATTTGAGCACCTAGAGGCTGTGGAAACGCTGGCCACTGAGAGCTAAGACTCTCGTGGTGGGCAGTCGGCTGATGTGTGCTGCTCCCTCAGCAGGCTCCGGGCATTGTCCTTGGAGTGAGGAGCACTGGGGAAGCGCTGCAGGGCCCAGTCCTGTGGCATCTGCCAACATGAGGGGCCCAGGGCTTGGTGTGAAAGACAGATGCTTAGATGTTGGGTATGCAGGCGTTCCGCCTTTCAGCTGTGCTTGCTTTTCAGACAGGTGAGTTTTAGGCTCTAAAAACCGCAAATGCTTTGTTGGCCCTGTCCACTAACGGGCTCTTCCCTGAGCTCAGTGGTCCAGGTGGAAAACGGAGACTAAACTAGAGGCTACCTATCTAACATGACACTGGTTTCCTTATAAAATCCTGTGGCAAGTTCCTATGACTTTGTATTATCTTGTCATCCATTTTTAGTCTTCAGACGAACCCCGACTCCTTCTTTAGAAAGCTTAAATTGTCTTTCTGTGCTTTGAGATGTAAATTTGCTATTCTGTTTTCTCTGAAACTGTGTAAGGGTTCCAGCCATAACTCGTTCCATTTACAAAGGCACAATTTAACCCAACTGTTCTTTTCTTTTGTTTTGTTTTGTTTTTAGAGAAAGGGTCTCACCCTGCCGGCCAGGTTGGAGTACAGTGGTGGAATCAGAGCTCACTGTAGCCTTGAAGTCCTGGGCTCAATTAGCCTCCTAAGTACCTAGGAAAATAGGCACGCACTACTGTACCTGGCTGATTTTATTTTATTTTATTTTTTGTGGAGATGGGGTCTCATCATGTTGCCCAGACTGGTTTCAAACTCCTGGCCTCAAGGGATCCTCCTGCCTTGGTGCCCCAAAGTGCTGGGATTACAGGCATGAGCCACTATGCGTGGTCTCAACTGTTCTTTTAAACTTGTGAGTTTTACCTGATTCACAGCTAAAAATAAAATCAAAGCTATAAAATCTTAATGTATATATGTGTATCTATCTCTGTTTTTATACTGTCTACATGGTAGCAACTGACTTATAAATTAATGAGTAGCCATAAATTAGTTCTCCAAAATGCTTTTCACCTTCATAATAGAAATGCCTGCAGAATTTTAGACATTTTTGCCTGGGCTACTAGTCAGACTAATTTATACTGTTTCTGATAGATATTTTAAAGGTCACAAAACTGTTGCTTCTGTGATATTCCACACCTGCTTGATTTGTCTGTGAGCATATGCCTTTGGTTTTGAGTGTTTAGATTCTGGGGTCTAGATTAGTGGTCGTGACAAGGCCTAGAAACGTATCTGAGTGGTAAGCTTCCCGGGAAGGCCAGCGAGATGCAGCAGAGACAGCACGTGGGGCCTGCAGAGGGGTGTGCAGGGTCCTGGGTGTCCTTAGCTGGGAGCTGCGGCCAACGCCCCTCACTGGGACTGTGCCTCGCACGAGGCTCACGTCACACCTGCATTCGAACAGTACAGGCTGCATCAACAGCTCTAGAGAGCTACATTATCTTAGTCCTAGAAGTAGGGAGGATTTTAAAAATATTTAGCTTAGCCTCCTTTGTCATGCCTGATACTTCCATTACAGGGTCTGGTAAGTTCAAAAGATAGCATTTAAAAATCATCTTTTTATTGTTTTATCACTTACCCAGCTCCACAGGTAACATTTTGATAGGATTTCTTTCTAAAAGCAAAGTTTTCAAATGCCTTTAAAGCAAAACAAAACAAAATAGTTTAAAAAGCAGGGAATTAAAGTTTCTTCATTTTTCTTCTCTTTCAGGGGCAACTTCAATACACATACACTTCAGTTCACAAGAATGTACACAGAGGCAGGCCGCTGCCATCTGCAGGCACAGGTCGAAGCCCTGCACCGCTGGGACGTGGGGCCAGGCAGTCCGTAGGTGTGGCGGTGTCCCGTGCTTTGTGGGGTAGTGTTCACCTCCCACCTTTCTTCAACAGTTGACCCACCCCCCTGCGTAACAACCACAAATATCTCCAAACGTTGCCAACAGCCTCCTGGGGCAAAGCCTCCCCCAGTTAAGAACCGCTATTTTAGGCTTCCATACCTTCCAGTTATAACCTACTGTAAACCAGTCGTTCCTAAAACGTGTTGTGAGGAATTCCCATGGTTTATGATGCTCTGTGAAAAAAGTTTTTTAAGGCCAAAGACGTTGGAAAGACTTCCACTACGTGGTATATCCCGCCCTGCGTGGAGATGAATCACTGGCACACTGGGGACTCTGAGAAGCCTCCACCTAAGAAACACAGCTAAAGCAGCATTTCTGGAAGGCAGCTGCTTTCATTTAACACCTAGTAACGCCCTCACAAAATGCAGCCCAAAATATATCACGGATGCCTAGACAGATAGACAGACAGGAAAGAATGTAAAAATCTACTAGTCAAACGATGGAAAAATCTATGTTTTCTATTAAACTCTATCTTGCATCTTTTATTGTACCATGTTTCTTGGTTTTCACATTTTATTATTAACATTATGTTTTGAGACAAAGTCTTCACCCTGTTGCCCAGGCTGAAGTGCAGTGACAAAATCTTGGCTCACTGCAACCTCAGCCCCTGCCAGCAGCTGAGACTCAAGATGTGTGCCACCATACCTAGATAATTTTTGTATTTTGTGTAGACACAAGGTCTTCCTATGTTGCACAAGCTGGTTTTGAACTCCTGGGCTCAAGCAATCCTCCTGCCTCACCTTCTCAAAGTGCTGAGATTATAGGCATGAGCCACCACACCCAGCCCTCATTTAAATTAAGTTCAATTTTTTTATTGGAACCCCACAGGAAAATCAGATTACTTAAGGTTTAGACAATATTCTTTCTAGTTACTTTCTTGGATTTTCCTTATTTGCAGTTTTTTTTCTTTTCTTGAGACAGAGGCTTGCTCTGTCACCCAGTGTGGATCTCCTGGTGCAATCTCGGCTCACCGCAACCTCCACCTGCCAGGTTCAAGCAACTCTCCTGCCTCAGCCCCCCAAGTAGCTGGGACAGGCGCATGCCACCATACCCAGCTAATTTTTATTTTTACTTTTAGTAGAGACAGGATTTCAGCATGCTGGCCAGGCTGTTCTCAAACTCCTGACCTCATGGTCTGCCCACCTCGGCCTCCCAAAGTTCTGGGATTACAGGTGTGAGCTACTGCACCCTGCCATTATTTGAAGTATTTAAGGAATAAACTCTATGAAGTAAACTTTTCTTGAAGTGCACAAAAGTGGGTTATTTCAATGTTGTTTGTTCAGCTCACTGTTTCTGGTTTACTCCCTCTGAATTTTGCTAATATAAAACCAGCCAAGGAGAACAGTGCCTGCTCTCTACCAGGTGAACAGAGGCCTCCAGGCGCTGAGGAGCGCAGCAAGGGCGGCAGGTGCCCCCAGCTTCTCCAACATGGCCCTTCTTCAAGGCAGAAAGGTTCTGGCCCACCTGTGTGCTGCTGGGTGGGGCTGGGTTGGGTTTTTGCCTACGGGGGATTGCAGGGGGTTCATGGTTACTATTAACCTGAAAGTACAGAACAAGTTTTTCTACCTTATGTAATATTATTAAAATATTCTGAGCACACTTAAAATGATAAATTTGTAAATGTTAATTCCTTAAATACTTACTACCAGTGATCCAAAGCTTACCCATGGATTGCTTTGTTCCACTGATTTTGAAATGAACATATAAATGTGAATACTGAGTTGGACTTGTTTGCCTGAGGAGCGATGAACTGGTCCACATTTCCCTGTTCTCTTCTTTGCTACAAGCTCACACACCCAGGACACTGAGAAGAGGGCTCATTAACACCACCACCCTTTTAATTATGTGTTTCGAGAGGTTCAGGGCTTTTATAAGCCCGTGATCACGTTGCCTTTCTGAGTGGTATGGCTCAGCTCTGCGGCTGATCTAATTTGAATATCAGCATGGGTCACAGATCACAAATAAAAGTGTATCTTCAAAGACATTACGCAGCTTTGACTGTCAAAATCAAAGAGTTTCAGGTTTTGAGAACTGTATACTTATTTTAGGGAAAAGAAGAGTAGTCATGGGAACAGGTCTTAGTTCATCTGCACCCTCTGAGTAGCACTTACTCTCCAGAACTGTGTAAGGCTAAAACAATTTCTGGATAAAACAGCACCCAGTGCTTCTAAACCCAGAAGATGATGATCTTGTGAAGAAGAAATCCTTCCCGAATGCTCTCAGCCACAGGCTCAGAAGCCTCCTGAGGTCGTGAGGAACAGGGAGGACACCTGCCCAGAGTGCCCGGCTCCCACGCAGCTGCCGTCACGCAAGCAGCTGGCCAGGCATGACAGACGTACCAGCTGAGCTCCAGAACACGCTGCTCCTCAGGGTCCATCTGTGATCCACCCTGCAGACCCCAGAGTGCCGAGGAGCTCCACAGAGATGCACCCGGTGTGTTTCCACCTGCTTGAGACACCACTTATCATTGGATAAGCAGCTTCCCCACAGAGCCGGAAGACCACAGGGTGAATGATGCATCCTTCTCTTCCATTACGTGTAGCAAAATGTGCTGACTTCTTAGAAAACATTTTTAAAGCCAGTGAGTTCAAGGCAAGTGAAGGGCCTCCTACAAGCCTCAGTTCTGGGGTCACACAGTGAACACCACGGCTCTTTGGAGATGTAATTCCTCACGTAGGAACCAGGGGTGCCCTGGATACCCCTCTTCTTCTTGAGGCCCCACACCCACCCGCATCCTACAAGCTCTGGAGTCCCACTGAGGCCCTGCCATGGCCAGTCATGCCCAGGGTGCCCCTCCTGCATGAACTGCTGCCATGGCCACAGCTGGTGTCCCGCCCCACCCATGCCCTAGAGCCCCCTCCTCACAGAGTGACTATAAGCCAAGTCTGACACCAGCCCTCTTTACCCAAGCCCTTCTTAAAATCCACAATGAGACCCTGGCCTCTGAGCCCCACCTCTAGAGTCCTCCCTCACCACACAGGCCTCCCTGCCAGCCTGCACCTGCCAGGCACATGCCCACCTCAGGGCTGTGTCCAGAAGCACTCATTTCAGAGGAGGGGCTGTGGGTAACCCCCCACATGTGCACCAAGGAAGGACAGCTGTGCAAACCCCGGGAAAGTTAGTGCCTGAAGAATATCTTAGTTATAGTGTTATTACTCAGCTATTTCCTTTATATAATCCTTTATATATAACCATATATTAGTTTACAGAATTAGTGCCTGAAGTATAACTTACTGCTTCCATATATTTAGCTTATATAATCATACTTAGTACTTATATCTAATATACTTAGTTCCATATAACCTTTCTATATAATCATACAGGTATTGTAGTCAGAGCTGTACCGACACATTCAGTGCTGATTTATAGAATCCTTCCATATAACCATACAGTAGTCTGTAGTAGGAGGAATCCACAGAGCAGTCACAGAGCAGAAGCCGTACATGGGAAAACAGCCAGACCAGGACGAGAACCCAAGACCCAGGCGGCGGCGGCCCTGCCTGAAAGGGCGTACGCTGTATGGCAGGCTTGGAGCAGGAGCCTCTCCTCCTGAGACAGGAGTTGTAGCATCTTGCATCCAGTTACTGTGGAAAGTCGGCCTCAGGCCTGAGATCCTGGAAGTAACTGAGGGAGAGGAACCCCTCCGGTGTGACCAGTCACGGCTGCTGGACACCCTGTCAAGTCTTTTCTCGCTTCTGTGCTAGCTCAAATCATCCTCCCATAAGTATGTTAATAGAAGAGCACAAGTCTGCCAGCTCCCACTACACTGGCTTACCGTATCCTTCCATTAGAAACCCTTTGAAGTCTCCAGCCCCCAAGTAAGAAGTGTCGTGCACACAGCCCACCTCCTTGCCTCGGTGACCTAATGGGGGTGGACCCCTTTTCTGTACACAGCCCCCTACTGCGCATGGTCCACCTCTGCCCAGGTGACATAACGGGGTGGCCCCCTCGCTTGTTACGTGATTATGTATGCCCCATCACTAAGCCTGTAGATGATGACCTCACTCATGACCTTTCCTCGTTTGTGCCTAATAAATACAGATGCTTCTGGGCATTCGAGCCTTGCCTGTCTCTGCTCATTGGTGACGTGTCCCTCCCCCACCCAGTCCAGCTGTTCCTTTCCAGTTCTTCTGTGTCCTGTTTCTTTATTTCTCGGATCCAGCACCTCGGCACGGCATAAGAGACACCCCACGATCTTGTGGGGCCAGCAGCCACTGAAGCACTGATCAAAAGAGGTAAGAGCAGCCAGGCGCAGTGGCTCATGCCTGTAGCCCAGCACTTTGGGAGGTCGAGGTAGGCAATTCACTTGAGGTCAGGAGTTTGAGACCAGCCTGGCCAACATGGTGAAAACCCATTTCTACTAAAAATATGAAAATTAGCCAGGCGTGGTGGCGGGTGCCTGTAATTCCAGTTACTTGGGAGGCTGAGGCAAGAGATCGCTTGAACAGGGAGGCGGAGGTTGCAGTGAGCCAAGACTGTGCCACTGCACTCCAGCTCAAAAAAAAAAAAAAAAAAAAAAGAGAAAATGAGGTAAGGGCGATGATGGTTTCAGAAGGTGAAAAAGCCATGGTGTCAGGGATGTGGGCACAGAAGCAGAGGGCTCAGGAAAGGAGGGTGTCTCCACAGTGAGAGTCCCGGCTGCTAGGGAAGGGCCAGGAGGAGGAGGGAAACGAAGTGTGGCATTTCCACCCTGGGCAGGATTCCCCCCACACATGGGAACGCAAGGAAGCCCCGGTGGGAACAGGCAGGACACCCGGGGCTTGCTTGAGTGCTCCCAGCTTTCCAACGTCAGAAGCATTTCTCATTATTTGCCAAGAACCAATTTACACAGGTGCTCTCGGGAGCAAAGGAACTGGTTTATTATTATTTTTTGAGACGGAGTGTTACTCTGTAGCCCAGACTGGAGTGCAGTGGCGTGATCCTGGCTCACTGCAACTTCCACCCCCTCAGGTTCAAGCAATTCTCCTGCCTCAGCCTCCTGAGGAGCTGGGGTTACGGGCGCCCGCCACCATGTCCAGGTGATCTTTATATTTTTAGTAGAGATGGGGTTTTGCCATGTTGACCAGGCTGATCCTGAACTACTGAGCTCAGGTGATCTTCCTACCTTGGCCTTCCAACGCTCTGGGATTACACATGTGAGCCACTGCGCCCAGCCAAAGGAGCTGGTTTAACTCATCAGAGGTATTTCTGATTTTCAGGCAGCTTCACGCAAGGAGAGTCAGAGCCGTGACAAAAACCATACCAGCCACCCAGCAAAATCCACTGTGGCTACAGCATTCGCTGTGGCACCAAACACCCTGTTACAGTTCTGTGCCTTGGCCACATTCAGCCGTCACAGCTCTTAGCTGGCCTTACAAAGACTACAAAATAAATGTTTCTATTCTCAAGTAGAAATGCCATCGAGAGTAGAGGACGAGGGGCAACAGGACAGGCCCTCGCGCACTTACAAGACGAGCTGTGAGCTCTGGAGACACCAACAAACAACTTACTTGTGAGATCCAATCCCAGAAGGAAGTGCCTGGATCCTGTTGTACCGGAGATCCAGCCAAGTCAGGTTCGGCAGTAACTGAAAGAAATCTTGAGGAATCACACAGAGGGCATTCCTTTCCAGGTGCAATTGCTTCCGTGGAAAAGAGAGATCAGAGAATGTTTTGTCAACCAACTGATTTTAAAACATGATATGTCCAAAAACCATTTCCAAAAGAACTACCAACAACCAGAACCATAGACACTAAGTTAAAAAAAGAAAGAAAACCCAATCCCTTACCCTTAAAATATGAAAACAGTAGACAAAAGAATCACAAAGAAAAGAACCAGGACTCCTGGCAGTCTTGGGAGCGGCACTGACTTCCTCAAGAGCTGGCACTCTGCTGGTGACTGAGCACGTCTCTATTTCTGCCACAAGCCTCTGACACAGTCTGAAGCCCGAGGCCCCATACACAGTGTCCCGGCCCTTTCTCCAGTGCCCTCCACAGCCCCCGACACTGCCTGCTCACCAAGCAAACAGCAAGGGCCATGTCTGCTCTGCGGGACTCAGCCCAACTCAATCACGAAGAGGAAATGTAAAGACGGGCAGAGGTCCCTGCTGTGGTGTTCTCCAAAGTCGACAGCACACAAAACCACCTCAGCAGGCATCGCTTCAGGAGCAGACGGATACAACAACTCAGTGGCCTTCTGAAGTCTTTATAAATAAGGGACCACAGAACATCAAACGCAAACACACTGATTTTAGCTGTGTAAATGCATGCCACATACATATAATTTTACAGTTACAATGTGGCAGGATAATAGCTCATTTTTACAATACTGTCGTTAATGTTGCTGTGTTGTCTATACTCATATTATTACGTGTATTTACATCTATATCCATATTTACTGAGGCAATAGAAACAGATGTTCAGAACACTGATCTCAAAGCCAGACTGCGTGGATTCACATCTAGGTTTCCATACCTATTGGCTATGTGACCCTCAGCGAGTTCTTGAACCTATCTGTGCCCCAGTGTCCTGATCTGTGAGATATGGCAATGTGACCCACCTTACAGGGAAGCACTAGGGGCAGTGAGTGGACCAGCTGTGGTGATCACACTAGAGCAGCGCATGGACCGGCCGTGGTGATCACACTAGAGAGCAGCGCGTGGACCGGCCGTGGCGATCACACTACAGCAGCGCATGGACCGGCCGTGGTGATCACACTAGAGCAGCGCATGGACCGGCCGTGGTGATCACACTAGAGCAGCACATGCACCGGCCGTGGCGATCACACTAGAGAGCAGCGCGTGGACTGGCTGTGGCGATCACACTACAGCAGCGCATGGACCGGCCGTTGCGATCACACTAGAGCAGCGCGTGGACCGGCCGTGGTGATCACACTAGAGCAGCACATGCACCGGCCATGGTGATCACACTAGAGAGCAGCGCGTGGACTGGCTGTGGCAATCACACTACAGCAGCGCATGGACCGGCCGTTGCGATCACACTAGAGCAGCGTGTGGACCGGCCGTGGTGATCACACTAGAGCAGCACATGCACCGGCCATGGTGATCACACTAGAGAGCAGTGCGTGGACTGGCTGTGGCAATCACACTACAGCAGCGCATGGACCGGCCGTTGCGATCACACTAGAGCAGTGCATGGACCAGCCGTGGTGATCACACTAGAGCAGCGCATGGACTGGCCGTGGTGATCACACTAGAGCAGCACGTGGACTGGCTGTGGCAATCACACTACAGCAGCACATGGACCGGCCGTTGCGAATCACACTAGAGCAGCGCGTGGACCGGCCGTGGTGATCACACTAGAGCAGCACATGCACCAGCCATGGTGATCACACTAGAGCAGCACATGCACCGGCCATGGTGATCACACTAGAGAGCAGCGCGTGGACTGGCTGTGGCGATCACACTACAGCAGCGCATGGACCGGCCGTTGCGATCACACTAGAGCAGCACGTGGACCGGCCGTGGTGATCACACTAGAGCAGCACATGCACCAGCCATGGTGATCACACTAGAGCAGCACATGCACCGGCCATGGTGATCACACTAGAGAGCAGCGCGTGGACTGGCTGTGGCAATCACACTACAGCAGCGCATGGACCGGCCGTTGCGATCACACTAGAGCAGCGTGTGGACCGGCCGTGGTGATCACACTAGAGCAGCACATGCACCGGCCATGGTGATCACGCTAGAGAGCAGTGCGTGGACTGGCTGTGGCAATCACACTACAGCAGCGCATGGACCGGCCGTTGCGATCACACTAGAGCAGTGCATGGACCAGCCGTGGTGATCACACTAGAGCAGCGCGTGGACTGGCCATGGTGATCACACTAGAGCAGCACGTGGACTGGCTGTGGCAATCACACTACAGTAGCACATGGACCGGCCGTTGCAATCACACTAGAGCAGCGTGTAGACCGGCCGTGGTGATCACACTAGAGCAGCACATGCACCGGCCATGGTGATCACACTAGAGCAGCACATGCACCGGCCACGGTGATCACACTAGAGCAGCACATGCACCGGCCATGGTGATCACACTAGAGAGCAGCGCGTGGACTGGCTGTGGCGATCACACTACAGCAGCGCATGAACCAGCTGTTGCGATCACGCTAGAGCAGCATGTGGACCGGCCGTGGTGATCACACTAGAGCAGCACATGCGCCGGCCATGGTGATCACACTAGAGAGCAGCACGTGGACTGGCCGTGGCGATCACACTACAGCAGCGCATGGACCGGCCGTTGCGATCACACTAGAGCAGCACGTGGACCGGCCGTGGGGATCACACTAGAGCAGCGCGTGGACCGGCCGTGGCGATCACACTAGAGCAGCACATGGACCGGCCGTGGTGATCACACTAGAGCAGCACATGCACCGGCCATGGTGATCACACTAGAGAGCAGCACGTGGACTGGCCGTGGCGATCACACTACAGCAGCGCATGGACCGGCCGTTGCAATCACACTAGAGCAGTGCGTGGACCGGCCGTGGTGATCACACTAGAGAGCAGCGCGTGGACAGGCCGTAGTGATCACACTAGAGCAGTGCGTGGACCAGCCGAGGTGATCACACTAGAGAGCAGCGTGTGGACCGGCCATGATGATCACGCTAGAGCAGTGCGTGCGTGACCGGCCGTGATGATCACACTAGAGCAGCGCGTGGACTGGCCGAGGCGATCACACTAGAGCAGCGCATGGACCGGCCATGGGGATCACACTAGAGCAGCGCGTGGACAGGCCGTGGTGATCACACTAGAACAGTGCGTGGACCGGCCGAGGTGATCACACTAGAGAGCAGCATGTGGACTGGCCGTGGTGATCACACTAGAGCAGTGCGTGCGTGACCGGCCGTGATGATCACACTAGAGCAGCGCGTGGACCGGCCGAGGTGATCACACTAGAGCAGCGCATGGACCAGCCGAGGTGATCACACTAGAGCAGCGCATGGACCAGCCGTGGCGATCACACTAGAGCAGCATGTGGACCGGCCGTAGCGATCACACTAGAGCAGCACGTGGACTGGCCATGGCGATCACACTACAGTAGCGCATGGACCAGCCGTTGCGATCACACTAGAGTAGCGCATGGACCGGCCGTGGTGATCACACTAGAGCAGCGCATGGACCGGCCGTGGCGATCACACTAGAGAGCAGCACGTGGACCGGCCGTGGCGATCACACTAGAGCAGCGTGTGGACCGGCCGTGGTGATCACACTAGAGCAGCGCGTGGACCGGCCGTGGTGATCACACTAGAGCAGCGCGTGGACTGGCCGTGGTGATCACACTACAGCAGCGCGTGGACCGGCCATGGTGAACACACTAGAGCAGTGCATGGACCTGGCCGAGGTGATCACACTAGAGAGCAGCGCGTGGACTGGCCGTGGTGAACATACTAGAGCAGCGTGTGGACTGGCCGAGGTGATCACACTAGAGAGCAGCACGTGGACCGGCCGAGGTGATCACACTAGAGCAGCGTGCGGACCAGCTGTTGTGATCACGCTGCCTTCTCTGTGGAAACACATACTGTATACTGCAGAGTGCCCCATGCCTCCCCATTCCACCTTCAACACCGCGCCCCTGCTCCAAATCACTGACAGATTCCAGTCTGAGAAACACCGACCGGAAAAATCACACTCTTCATAAAGGCATTGAAAACAGCATCTTATCTCTGTTAGGAAACTGCTGGAGTCGCTGCTTGCTGGCAGCTGGCCAGGTCTCCGGAACGCAGCCTGGTGATCACAGGTACACAGTGCTCTTTCCTGCTCTTTCCCTCACAGTGCAACCTGATTCTAGTGCTCAGCTTTGAAACCATGTCTTCCTCAAGGCCAGTGAAGGGAATCTCAGGAAGGTAACACTCTGCTTCCTCCCCAGCACCTCTGGAAACACAGGAACCACCTTCGACTTGGCGCTGGTTACGGTGGAAGGAAATAACAAATACAGTGGTTCATTTCCAGAACAAAGTGCCTTGAACTGGCTTAGATCAGCAAGCTACAGAAGAAACAGGATTTAGCAGGTCTGCTTGGCCAGCCGATGCCTGCTTGCCAGCCTCCCCACCACCCCTTGGTTGCCCTCACCCAAACCAAAGTTCAGTCTAAGATGAAAGTTTACTAGCCTACAAAATGAGAACAGCTCATTTTGTCTGTTCTTACTGAGATGAAGCAAACTACCTCCATCTTAGCTGTGAGCCTGACTGACTCCATCTTGGCTCCTCCCCCGCCATTTCTCCCCCGAGTGCGTACCCGGGCCACACTGTGCTGGGTCATGTTGTGCTTAGAGCTATAGAAACATACAACTGTTGTAACAATATCCTGCTCGACAAGCCCACTTGCTGTTGTGGATACCCCCTTGACTGACTGTTCAGAAGTACCGAATGCCCCCTTGGTGACCAGCAATCGTGGGAACCGCTCATGTATACTCTCCTTAGTTAATCAACAATCCTGGGAGCCTCCTGCCTCCTAGTTTCCAGCCTCCTCCCCTAACTTGCTTATTCTGCTTCTGTAAATTCCGCTTTGCCCCCTTACCATGAGCAACGTATAAAAGGAAATCAAGCCCCTTCCTCGGGCTGAGAGATTTTGAGAGTAAGCTGACTCTCAGTCGCCGGCAGTAAAGGACTCACAATCAG